TTGCTTCCATCCCATTCCCACTCCCCCCTCCAGGGTCTGCATTGAATATCCCACGGGTCGGGACAAAGATCTGAGGAAGTTTCTCATGAGGGGCTGTTGTGGTAAATAAATGATCCTCCCTGCTCCTTCCAGTTTTCCAAGCTTCTTTAAAAATCTAGCAGGTAGTTCATTATTAACTTTCTTTATCACTTCAGGTAGAATTCACCAGTCCCTCCTTTTTGCTCAGACTGAATATGTGGTATATAAGTCCTACCCTAGCACCACTCATGTTTAAGTTTATATCCCAGGCATCTGAGACATTAGCCACTCCAATGTAGGGGAGGAAAAAGTGTCTTCCCCATACCTTTCTAGGTTCTTTGTCTGGTCTACGAATTAAATTATCATAAAGCAAATTAACAGTAGAAAAACAATTTTAATTACGTATGTGTGCATGGGAGTCCTACAAAATATGAGACTCCAAGAACAGCCAGATGATTGAAGCTTATATAGTATCTTGAACCACAGAAAGGAGTTGGGGCTTGGGATTTCTAGGGGGTGGTGGAGACACATTAAGGGAGGGTAAGGAGAGGAAATGTAAGTTGAATAATGGTTGCCTTGTTATGCAGATAAAAGTCTCTCAGGGTTAAGGGATACAAAAGTATAGCTAGATAGAAGGAAAAATATCTATAGCACTGTAGGGTAACTATAATCAACAATTTATTGTATAGTTTCAATCAGCTAGAAGAGAGGATTTTTGAATGCTTCCAACACAAAGAAATAACAAGTGTTTGAGATAATGGGAAAAAGAAAAATCAGCGGTTGCCAGGTTTTCAGAAGATGAGAGAGGAAGGGATAAATAGTTGGAACAGAAAGAATTTTTAGGGCAGCAAATATTCAGTATGATACATGACATTCAGTATGATAATGATGAATACATGATATTATGCCTTTGGCAAAACCCATAGAACTGTACAGTACAAAGAGGGAACCCTAATGTAAAATTAATACCAATACTTATTCATAATTGTAATAAATGTGCCACACTAATGTAACATGTCAGTAAAAGGAGAAAAAAGCCTATCAGGTGATAAACGTTGACTACAGATGTAAATTTCTTTACAAAAGGGTAGTTTTATAGTTTATTTTAGGCAGTAGAGAGGTGACGTGCTTTTCCCGAATTGGCTGGTTTTCAATTTCTTTTAGTTCAAAGTAATCAATACACTAGAGTGGTACATTATAGGGTGTTATATTCTGGTCTTCTGCAGTCATATTTTGGGGTAGCGTGTCCTGAGCCCCAACACCATAAAGAAATAAACCAATTTAACCCCGATCAAAG